ATTACTTTTGTCACACAGTAAGTAAATCAACTTTTGGGGGCAGAAGAATGTAGAAAAAAGGACAGAACATAGAGCCACTGACTAGGAACCTAGCTCTCCCACTTACTGTGCTAGTCACTTCAATTCTGTCATCCTGATTTTCACATTTCTATTTATGAAATGGAAATAAATAATACCTGTCTAGTTTTGGTTAAAGTAATAATATATGTAAAAGAGTTAGTATAGATTTGGCATATAGAAGCACATGAATTGGTACCTATTATTTTTTTAACTGCTGGAGCTGGAGAGCAATGGTCTTCCTCTCAAGTCAGAAAAGTTTTTTTTTTTGGCCAGGGCTGGGTTTGAACCCACTACCTCTGGCATATGGGGCTGGCGCCCTACTCCTTTGAGCCACAGGCACTGTCTACTCAGAAAGGTTTCTCTTTCTGGCATGGGTAGAGTGCCCTGGCATCATAGCTCATAGCAACCTCAAATTCTTAGGGCTCAAATGATCCTCTTACCTCAGCCTCCCAAGTAGCTGGGACTATAGGTACCCACTACATTCCCAGCTAGTTTTTCTATTTTTAGTAGAGATGGGGGTCTCATTCTTGCTTAGGCTTGTCTCAGGCACCTGAGCGCAAGCAATCCACCTGCCTTGGCCTTCCTGAGTGCTGGGATTATAGGTGTGCCACCGTGCCCAGCCTCAAGTCCAAAAATATTAAAATAACTACTTCTGATTTCTTTTTTTAGGGAACAAATTTTTATGTATCTAAGGCAGTGATTCTCAACCTTCCTAATGCTGCAGTGTATTTTCATTGTTAAAAAGGGGTTGCCACCCACAGGTCGAGAACCACTGACCTAAGCGTTTTCTGTGAATAAAGGAATACCTTGGGTGATTTTCTAATGGGACATGTGCAAAGCTTGCACTTAACCAGCATTTAGAAAAAGAATATTTTCAATGTTGTTTAGAACTGTGGCTCCTATTGTATCATTACATATAATGTCATATAGCTTGGGATACATAGATATTTGGATTATTAGCCAACTAAAGCTACACTAATTTTCCTTCCTTAGGTATGATGTGGAGCTCTTCCAGCGCATAGAACACTTAATTGGGAAGAAACTGCCTGTCTTTCCAACACAGGATGATGAGGTTATGATGCTGACAGAACGTGTGACTGAAGCCCAAAGATTTGCCCGAATGGTATGTAACTTTCTTTTTACCAGCTTCAATGCAAATGATATTAACTGTGTGCCACTTTATTATATTAGTCCTCATAATAGACAACAGGACCTGAGTATTACTTTATTCCAAATTTAAGATGAGCATACTGTGGCCAGGAGCAGTTGCTCAAGCCTGTAATCATAGCACTTTAGGAGGCCCAGAAGGGAAGATCACTTGATACCAGGAGTTTGACATCACATGGGGCAATATATGGAGACCCCATTTCTACAAAAAATTTTAAAAATCTAGCTGAGCACGGTGGCTTGTGCCTGTAGTTGCAGCTACCTGGGAGGCTGAGGTGGGAGTCCATGGAGCCCAGGAATTTGAGGTTACAGTGGGGTATTATGCCACTCTACTCCAGCCTGGGTGACAAAACGAGACTCCATCTCTCTTTTTTTTTTTTTT